GTGTTTGCTATGACCATCGTATTCTCTTGACAAAATTCTACCAGCCTGTGCCCTGCTTCATTTTGTACTCCAAGGCCAAACTTGCCTGTTATTCCATTTATCTTTTGGCTTCCTACTTTAGCATTCCAATCCCCCATGATGATAAGGACATCATTTTTTGGAGTTAATTCTAGAAGGTGCTGTAGGCCTTCATTGAACCGGTCAACTTCAGCCTCTTCAGCACCAGTGGTTGGGGCATAGACTTGGGCTACTGTGATGGTTTGCCTTGGATTCGAACTGAGATCATTCTGTCATTTTGGAGATTGTATCTCAGTACTGCTTTTCCTACTCTTTTATTGACTATGAAGGCTACTCCATTTCTTCTGAGGGATTCTTGTCCACAGTAGTATCCCTGATGGTCATCTGAATTAAATTCACCCATTCCTATCCATTTTAGTTCACTGATTCCTAAGAAGTTGATGTTCAGTCTTGTCATCTCTTGTCTGACCACATCCAGCCTGCCTTGATTCATGAATCTTACATTCCAGGTTCCTATGGAGTATAGATCTTTGCAGCATCGGACTCTCCTTTCACCACCAGATATATCTGCAACTGAGTGTCCTTTCGGCTTTGACCCAGTTGCTTCATTCTTTCTGGTGCTACTAGCACTAGCCCTTCGCTCTTCCCCAGTAGCATATTGGACACCTTCCGACCTGAGGGGCGCATCTTCCAGCGTCATATCTTTTTGCCTTTTGGTACTGTCCATGGGGTTTTCATGGCAAGGGTACTGGAGTGGGTTGCCATTTCCTTCTCCAGTGGATCACCTTTTGTCAGAGCTCTCTGCTATGACCTGTCCGTCTTGGGTGGCCCTGCACAACATAGCTCATAGCTTCATTGAGCTACACAAGCCCCTTTGCCACGACAAGGCAGTGATCTATGAAAGGGGATCTCAAGACTTACAGATCCCTTATTATTTCCCAAGAATTTCACAGCAATGACCAGATAGTTGCTTTGGAGAGGGAAATGGGTTTAGTAGGTAAGTGGTAAATTTTGTATTGCAGGCTTCCATCATGCATTCAGGCAGTTGTGATGATCCAAGTCACCAAAACAGATTTAGCAGTTTTACCACCAACCAGGGATGCTCTTTTATAAAGCTAATGGGCTTTGAATGTCATTCCAGATCAAGTATCTGCACTGCAATGGGGAACAATAAGCTGCCCTTGGGAGAATTCATTTGCAGTGACAATGAAAAGGTGGAAACTGGTATTAGATGAACTAGTGTTGCGAGCTTTATTAACTACCCAGCATGATCTTAAGTAGGACTGACAAATTGCAAGTTTCGTGCAATTATTTCTTCATTTCCATTTGGGGCTAAAGGGCCAAAATGCTGGCATGGCTGTCCGTGCTGTATTTGCCCTTGCTCACATGCTGTGGCCATGCTTGTGCTTCTGTAGCAGAACCCCAAACACAGTGAAAGGGTTAGACTACCTCCAGCTGCTGCCAAAACCAATGGGCTGGTTTTCGCTGCCTCTCCGTATCCTCTAGCTCAATACAGGCAACTCCACTCATCTGGGAATCCATCTGTTCTAGGATTCGGTTCATACAGCAGCCAACCAGCTCCTTGTGGGAAATTCACAAATAGGACATGAGTGGAAGAGCACCCTCCCGCTCATCTTCCCCAGCATTTGGTGCACACTGCACTGATAAGGTAAACATAAAGGTTTCCCCTTGACATTAAAGTCCAGTCATGCCTGACTCTAGGGGGCGGTGCTCATCTCTGTTTCCTAGCCGAGGGAGCCAGCGTTTGTCCGCAGACAGTCTCCGTGGTCATGTGGCCGGCATGACTAAACACCAAAGTGCACGGAACGCTGTTACCTGCCCACCGAAGTGGTACCTTTTTATCTACTCGCATTTGCGTGCTTTCGAACTGCAAGGTTGGCAGGAGCTGGGACGGAGCAATGGGCACTCACCCTGTTGTGCAGATTCAAAGGGGGTGGAAGCCAATGAGAGGAGCCATGGGGCTGTCTTCTCTCTTTCCCTACCCAGAGGACTCCCATCCCTTCAGAGCAGAGTGATGGCTGCAATGACGAAGGGAAATTGCCCTCTTCCTGGTTCTACTCATGGAAACAGTTCTACCAGCAACAAACATAATTAGACTGCATTTATAGTCCATCCGTTATCCTGGCACTTAAGCAGATGATGTCATTGCTCCTTCTCTGAAGAACATTCCTGAACTGTGCTCCTGTGCCTCTTCTGTCTACTGAGTCTCACTGAATCCACAAGGGTTGTTCCCATGTGAGGGCACATAGAATTGCAGCTACATACAATTAGAAAAGTGCTTTGCTTCCCTGCCCCATAAACTGGTTGTAGAAAATACACTAACAGCCCATTCTGTCATACATGAAAATACACTAACAGCCCATTTATTTGGAATTAAGCTATTTTGAAATTAAATTTGAGGAGGCAGGTGCAGGTGCAGGTGCCTTACTGAAAGAATCACAGAAAACCTCGTATGTGGTGGTAAATGAACAATTTCTTTCAGTACCGAAATCTGTATGGTTTCTATATGCTGAGGAGACACAAATTACTGGAGCCAACATCATAGTACATATATTATTCATGTCAAATTAAGTGCATTTAAAAGTTCTACTAACTGTAGAGTCATTTCCATTCAATGGATTCTTTATCATGTTCTTTATAGTGATTTGCTCATTTTATTTTATGCTCATTTTATACAGCATATGCTCATTTTATACAGTATTCAGAAAGTATAATACTGAAATGGCAAAAATAATATGCAAAATATATAGTCAAGAAAGCAAGGCCAATCTAGACTTGATACTGAATGCATCATTGATTCACTTCTGTCAACAGGGGCTTTTACCCCTAAGTAAATACCAGCTTTGGAGAAGGGTTTTTTCTCAGGATCATTGCAAATGAAGGAAAACAGGATTAACGCTCTCCTTTCTGCCTGCAATGATCCCATTAACTATTAGCGCCTTCCCTTGCATTTTGCATGTTAAAAAAACCCACTTTCATGCTAAATGTAAATATGTCACTTGTTTGGCACTGACACAATACTTTTCATACCTGGGACTTTCGGTGGTTATTGACTCTGATCTCTGACCTGCACTGTAAAGCAGGAAGTTTAGCCTGATATTGCAAAAGTGCAGTCTCATTTCTGTCACTGTTCTCCCCTGAGGTAATGTTTTATTTCTGGATATTTCCAGGCTGTCGTCTTCATCTTCTTGTAAAGGGCTGATTAGTCTTCAAGTATGAGGGCAACAGTGACCATCACAGATCCTTGCTTATTCGCTAGCCCTCCTGTGTGCTAAAAAATGTTTTACATCCCCTACTGACAAACAGTCCATTCCAGCCCTTGGACAAACCTGTCTAGGACTTGTAGATGTGCACAGGAGTACTCATTGAAAGCTATATGCAAACTTGTACCAAGACATTGAATTCATTGGGGGTTTCTTACAAGTGAATGCCTATAGGAGCAGACTAGAAGCCCTACCCAACTATAACATGTGAAAAAGACCAGTTAGAGTGCTTTGACCTATGTATACACTGATGTTAAAAATGGGTGCATACATCATGGATATGGCACCTAGTCAGGAATAGAAAAGATCAACCTGCCCACCACGGCAAGTGAAATGATGGTCACAATGAGATCCACCAGACTTCCTTTCTTAAACACACGTGTGCAAAAGATGAACCCAGCTAGCCTTAATATTAGGTGGCCACTGATGATGCTGATGCTTGATTGGGATGAAAGGATGATTTGAAACAAGGAAACAGGAAGAGTGAAAATGTAACAAAGAATATTCCTTAGCCATAGGAGGAGGGGGCCTGGATCAGAGAGCAGAAGGGAATTGGCATGTAGACAAGATAGCAGGACCCCTGCTCAATGAGTATTAACTAACACACCCTGCACAGGAAATAATGTCATTATAATGCACATGGGAGGGATGAAATGGGAGGGAAGAACAGGTATTGGAGCGACACAGAATAGGTGGACGGAAAAGATTGTAACTTCCCAGTACCTTGGCCAATGAGGGAGAGGAGCAGGGAAAAAGCAGACGGGGGAAAGGGCATAAATATGGAAGGTGAACACGCGCTCTGGGAGTTGGAAAGGGGAAGGACAACCCTCTGACTCCCTTTATTGCAAAAAAGGAGGAGGAGGAGGAGAACTCTCTGTTGCCTGGTGCATTTTCCAAGGGAAAGGAAAGAGTGTTACTAACCATGCTGGGCAGGTGGAAGCAGTGGTGAGGTGCTGGAAGGCAGCCATTCCTTGTCACTGCACCTCTGCTTTGGAGAAATCTGTTCTTGCGGCCTGCCCCTTGCTGCCCAGTGGGGTGGAGAGTGTAGTCCCATCACCAGCCTTGAAGTCAGGAGTCAGCTGCTAGTTCAGTTGGGTTTTTTACATGGAATGGGGGAAGACACCACCTTGCCCTTTGCTTCAGAGAGTACAATGTTTTGGGAGAAGCCTGGGAAGCTGAGACAGCTTCTCCCTCAAAAATATGCCGAGTGCTAAAACTGGTAATCCTTTCCTGTTCCATAATTCAACTTGGATAGTCAAGATGTTGAAACGACTTCTGCTTATTATTTGAAACGATAATACAGGGGCTGCAGAAGGTACGCGTGCACCGTGTGTGTGTGTATCTTGGAGGGGGCACAATAATACAGCTAGGTTAATCTTCTAGCACAACTCCTTTCTCCCCAGATAACTTGACTGCGTCCAGTGACATTAATCCATATTAGGACGTTGTCTTTCCTGGGTTAAGCGGAAAGTTGCGAACGATGTGCAACTTTTCGAAATCTGCCGCTTGCGCATTCTTGTGTCCCTTTCCGGCTGGCCCAGCGGTGCAAGCTGACGGAGGTTCTGACGTGGCGCCCGGCTCGGTCTTCCAGCTCGCCTGCCTGGCGGCCCGCCGTGCCAGCAGCACGAAACCTGCGGGGGGCGCTGCGAGGCGCTCGCGAGGTCGGACTTCCGCGGCGCTCTGGCTGGCGCCGGGCTCGCTCTCCGTGGTTTCTCTGGCTGCGAGACGGGGCTGGTGCGGAAGTGGCTGGCAGCGGCGGGGAGTCCGGAGCAGCGCGGCCGCGGCGGCGCGCGGGGGGCCGGGACGAGGTGAGCGGGGCCGAGCGAGGCTTGGGCGCAGTTCCCGCCCCCGCTTTGCGGGACGGCGCCCTTTGCTCTCTACCGCCCGGAGCCGGCGGCGCCGCATCTGTTTGCCTGCGGCTCACGCCCACTAGCTTGGGTAGCTGCCGCCGCCCAGAATAGCACAGACCCGTCTCCTGCCCGCGCAAGCCGGGCTGGCGGAGGACCGCTGTTGCTGCCGGCCGTGCGCGGCTCCCTTTAGAGCCGGGATCGGCATGTGTGGCCAGGCTCCGGCCGGGGAACTGGGGAATGACCCGCGCCAGCCGCCGCTTGGGGCGCGAAGGGCGCACGTGCGGGGTGGGCGCCGGGCTCCCACGCTCCTCTTTCGCCGCAGTCTCGCCGGGAGTTACTGTGGCGGGGTCGGGGTGGGTGTGGGGTGAGAATTCGGAAGTACTTCTCCGGGATTCCCCCCCCCCCGTTCTCGCCCCTCATCTGCCTCCTCATGGACACCGACGCTGTGCGTTTTACATCTCTTACAAGTTCAGTAGGAGCAGGTTTCCGCTCTATGAGGGTGCAGTGACAGGGGACGTCACTGTCAAATTTCTGCATGCTGCACCATTGTGAAATATACAGAATCTCTGTAGAAAAGAAGAGGCGTTGACGCTGCCACTGTACTCAACAGCCTCCCACCACCTAGTGCCCTCCACCTGCTTAGGACTTATGTTCAGGTGCAGTCCAAAATCCTGGGGGTTGTACATCCAAATATTCAGAGAGCGCAGGGTTAGGGAAGGCTGCTATAAAAGTACTAGGAGTGATCTGAGCTATCATACACCAATATGTCATTCCACTCTTCCAATGTTGCTTTATTTAGTAATTATGTTTATAGTCTGCTTTTTGCTTTGCAATGAACTCAGAGCAGCTTAGATAAATTTCGTCGTCCTCTCCATCTTATCCTCACAACAACAACCCTGTGAGGTAGGTAGGGCTGAGAGTCCATGGCTGGCTCAAAGTCAAGTGGGGACTAGAACCGAAATCTCCTCAGTCCCAATCCAGCACTCTTAATCTCTAGAATGATAGAATGACCAAGAAAAAAAAAATCAGGGACACAGAGAGAGTAGTAGCATGGCTTGATTCTGCATGGATGCATGGGATCCATGGACAAGGAATTGCTTTGAACATCCTAATAGCGTCCTTGAATTCATACCCTGTATTCTCCACTCCCTGCTGTAAGTAGCCTTTCATTCCTGTGGGGAAATGAGTATGCAAGTTAAATTTATATTATTTGCTTTAAGTCCATCTTCTTGTGTCACAAGCATGCAAATTAGGCTAGTGTTGCTCTGTAACATGTACATTGTTCCTGCCTTTTGATGGGTTGATAAGGTGGCCTTTGTTGTCTTTTACTGAAATGGATTTCTTTGTAGTCTCACAAAAATGAAAAAAAAAAAAACCCTTTCAGTAAATTGCTGGTGGACTATTATGTTGTCAAATATTCCCCTACTTCTAGTGTAAATTTCAGCAGTCTTGGCAATGATCCAATGGTGTTTAAGAACCACAGTGACTGGAATGGATAGTCTAGGCAAACTCATTACTTACACATGAACAATGAAAAATATGGTTCTTAAAATAATTTTGTCCAATTTGTTTCTTGCTGAGAATTGGTTTCATTGTTTCAGGGT